AGATAAAAATATTGCTCAAGCCAAATGATTTACAAAGAATAAGAGTGGGAATTGTGAAAAATGCATGTATTTTATGATTGGCTTTTCGCAAATATTAAAATGAATATTATATGTGTTGTGTTAGAAAGTAATGCTGTATTAATTCTCTTAAGTACTGTGTTCAATATAGTTTTAGGCTATAAAAATTGTTAAAATAGAAACTATGCTATGTAAGATGCTTTGTTTAACAAGAAGGGCTTGCAGCAAGCTAGCAGCCACAGGACACCTAAATCTTTCAGAGAAAGAGAATTTATTGCCTTCTTATCAGAAGAAACGAACTTCTTCCGACCTCGAAGGCGCTGTTAGGATTAGAAGGAAGAAGCAGACACTGACCAGACAGAATCCTGTGTTTGAATGGAATTTATGAATCATGGATGAAGTGTATGAATATGCAACGGGCTATTGTTCTTAAGGGTTAATCCTTTGTGAACGGCTGTCCTTTTTTGGGCTCGTGATGCCCAGAGAAAGGTATCCGGACGTCCGTAACTCTTTGTTTTTATTGTCTCATATTGTCCTAAATATTTTATTACTCTTAAACTTTTAAAATTTTTAAAAACAAGTGATTGGCGTTTTTCACAGGTCCCTTTTCCTTAGCGCGCAGTTTTCGCACAGCGTTCGCAGCGGCCGTCCCCTCCCACCGCGCCTTTGCAGCTCAGGCAGATAAACTGTATTCCAATTCTCGACGACATCCACCAGTTTTGGTTTTGCACGGGAGATATTTAAAAAAGCGATGCAAAAGTTTTAGCTACTAAAACCTGTACAGCTTCTGAGACAGTAAAGAAGAAATTAAATCCCAAACAAGAGAAATAAAGAAATGCCTTAATCTTAAAGCTAAAACCCTCTGGTAAAACTATGGAAACAAGACTTTTTTTCTCTAAGACTTAAAGGTATGGAGAGATATAGTTGTAATTAATATCAAACAAAAGACTCCACAGCAAAGCAAACAAATATTAAAGTCACTGTAATCCTATAAGAAGTTGAAACGGAGAGAAGAGTAATAAAATTATGTGCCTCCAAGAACAAAAATCTCTGTTCAAAGTGGGCACAAAGGGAGGCCGGGCCGCCAGCTCCGCCCCCCGAGCCCCCGCCGGCCGACACCGCAGGCCCCTCGGCACCTTTCGGCGTGGCCCCGCTCCCCGCAATGCCGTTGTCCGCAGCCTCCTCCCCGCCGCCCCTGCCCCCGGACGGCCGCACTCCAAGCCGCTCCTGCCGCTGCCCGCGCTCCTGAGAGCGACACTGCCGGCCCGGCTCGTGGCGGCCTCGCCCCTGGACAGGGAGCTGCGGCTGCTGCTGGCCCGGGGCAGCTGCGGCTCGGAGTCCGCCTGCCGAGGGGCGAGAAGCAGCAGCCCTGGGCTCCTCACCATTGTGCCCCGCATGATTCCCTGCCCCGGTGCCTCGGAGCCCGGGCACACCGAGCGCCGGCACGGCCGCTGCGGCTCCCTGCCTGGGCACACGGAGAAACCCGGCACATGGAACTCGCCAGAACCCCGAGGCCCGAGCTGAGGCAAAACTGACCGCGAGTCGCACCTGTGCTGAAGCCGCTTCCCAGCTTTATTATAGACTTGCCGGGCTCTGGGCGCGACAGCCGCTGCGCCTCCAGTCTAATGGGCGCGATTCGTACCCCCTCACTGCTACACGGGCAGCGTCAGTGTGGGAGGGATTTTGGCCGATCTGAGCAATCGGCGGCGGGAGCGCAGCCAATCGCGGATCGGCGGCTCCCCCGCCGCGCCCCGGCGCTCCCCGCTGCCTTCTCCGGGATCGGTTCCTTCACCGCTCCGGCGCCTCCCGTCGCTGCCAGCCCGGATTCGGGATCAGAACCCGAGTCCCTTTGGCCCGGTGAGCGCAGTGCAAACCCCCTGCGGTGGCGGCAGGCGCGGGGCTGCCCCGCCGAGCCCCGAGCCCCGTGCGGGTCCAAGCTCGGCTTTCCCCGCTCGGCTTTGCCCTCGCTGCCGCCGGCGCTTTCCCCGCTCCCGGGGCTCGGCTTTGCCCGGCGCCTCCGCTTGGCCCCGGCCGAACTCACTGCCCCCCGTGGTTCCCCAACCCTGCGGCGGGGCGAACCCCCGGCATTTGCCGAAGGGCTCTGAGTGCCCCTGGCTACTGAAGCCTCACGCTCCGTGTCCTAGAATGCCGTAAACATGTGCTGAAATGCTTATTTGAAGTTAATCTTGTGTTTTTGGTGAACTCTGATTTCTCTGAGAATTGTTACTGGAGAGATTCAAAGGGGTAAATCCAGTCCCTCGTTATTATTATCACGTGCAGCATAACACAATCTAATTTCTTTAACACAAATGCTGATAACTTTTAGCATATGCTATTACACTGAATACAATCTCGAGAAGCTCCCAGTTTGTTCCACACGTAGCCAAATTTTATATTGTTGTTTCTTTTGGTAGAATTGCACTTTAAATGCTTTTAGTAAATTTTTGGTTCCTTAAAAATTGCAGTTACCATGAGTTTTTCTCAATGTTAAATTACATAGGGTCAAGGTATTTGACTTTTGTAATCCCTCCAGTAAATGCATCAGGGTGTTATTTCAAACATGCTTGGTCCACATTTTCATTGTCTTTTGGTATTAATACCATCAGAATAAGTTACATTTTGTAGTACCTCGAACTTTGAAGGATATTGATTGTTCCTTCAGTTCTGTTCTATCTGAATATGATTTTAGTGTTGCTAAGATTAAGCAAAGTTAGATCTGAGTGATGTTATGTTTTATTACTCTGTTGAGTTAATTTTGTTAATAGTCATTTATGTCGAGGTGGATTTCTGTCAGGGTTGAGTGTTGCTGAGTTTAGACGAGGTCAAGTTTCAACCTTCTTCACTTTAAGCCATTTCATGTTCTATTCCAGTTTTATTAAAATCATTTTTTATTGAGTATTAAAGATGTTAACTTTAAGTTGTCTTAAGTGTACCTCTAAGTCTACTGAGATGACATTGAATTCCACTGCAAGTGATTACAAGTCCTAACTTAATTTCGATAAATATGTTTGTTTACATTGCAAGATGTGGTTATTTCCTTCTAGAGATAAGACAGATCCCACTGAAACAGCTGTGATGAAACACTGATAAACACCTGCCTTTGGATAGAAGAAGATACAGTTTGTTGGACCCTTGATCCTCTCACAGATTGCACAGGTGTCAGTGCTGCACTGCCTGACAGGATCATTGATTGTGATCTCTTCTGGTTCATCTTCCACAGATAACACAGGAGAGTGGGTGGTTGTTCCACATTGTGGCTGTTATCCATTGTAAGCTGTTCAGTGTTTCATTGCTATGGATACAGGAATGCTGGAAGAATATTGTCTCCAATTCCTGAGACAATCACTGCTGATATATTTGTTCCATCATGTGAATTCCCTCATTTTTATAACAGGCATTATTCATAGGACATCATTGTGGAGAGTTTTGTCAAAGAGTGGCTTGAGGAGAGAGGACACAGCCAAATTGATTTGGTAGAGATGTCCTAAGTAGGGCAGAGGCCTTTTTGCAGGCAGGGTGTCTGTTGAGAAAGTAGCAGGCTAAAGAATGGAAAAGTACAAGACAGTGCTTAATTCCAAATCTTTCACCTGCAAAGATAACGTCTCCTTGGGCCTAGCAGAGGATGATAAAGAAATGGACAGCGAGGTGTGAGAAGTAGAGAACGTAGGCCCAAAGGAATGTGGATGAGTTAATGGTATAGTTTAACCAATAGATTGCTTGGCTTATAGAATATTCATGAGCTTATTATTTGCTGTATAGGTGTTTGATGCTTTCTTTAATAAACTGGACCTGTGATGAACCATCTGGTGTCCTGGTCTCCTTCCTACGACACATCATTACCTTATTTATAGCTGGCTTTTCATGAACTTTGACGTATCTTTGACATGGTGTCACTTTGGGATCTCTCTGTTTTGTTCTGCAGCTGCAGCTGCATCTCTTTGAACAGGCTGTCTGCAGCCGTTCCCTGCACTGCCTGCTCAGCCTTTAGTCCCTTCTCCTGTTCCAGCAGGGTTGCTGTGCCTTGACCCTGGGCTGTCTCATGATTTTCCTGTGTTTCCAGAGTTCCAGGATGAGATCTCTGGGCTCTGTCAAAAGCCTCATCTGAGCTGAGGTCCTGTGGTCTTTCCCGACCCTTTTGTGCCACATCCTCATGGGACAGGGCTGTGACCTGCTGAGGGCAAGGCTGCTCCTGCTCTGTTGCAATCACACACAGCCCCAATTATTCTCACAGGAGCACTCCAGCAGTTTGCTTTGTTTGGGGCATCTCACAGCTGGCCTTATTGAGAGATTTGTTTTTAAGGTATGTGGGGGAGACCCTCCCAATGAGGGTCTGGGCTCTGGCCAGGCCCTGGCTCTACATGGTTGGAAAATTGGCAACAAACCCAGATGTTTTCTGCCTCAAAACTATATTCAAGTCTCTTGGCCTTGGCAATTTGACCCTATACCAACAGGACAGCTAGATCAAAATCAGTTAAACTTAAACCTAAGATGCTGCGAATTGATATACACCTCCCTAAAAGCAGAGATGACGCCGTTATCCCTGTAGATTAATTACATTGAATAAAATTAAATACAACAAGAGTAAACGAGCCGAGTAAGTCAGAACTGACCCAACTCTCGAGTCAGGGGATAAGAGCCGGTTGCAGGGATTTAATCGCGTTCGGTCCCACCGGTGTCGGGCCGGGACCGGTGCTCAGGAATGCCGGGAACCATCTCCCGTCGGGGACAGGGGGTGACCGGGCCGTCACGGGGCCCTGCTCGGTGCTGGGGGCAGCGCGGGCGGCAGGCCCGGGAGCGGGGCCGGGGGATCACGACCGGGACCGCGCTGGGGCTCGGGGCCGCGCCGGGCACCGGGGCAGCGGCAGCCACTCACGGCTGCAGCGGTTTCCGCGCGTATCGCGATATCACCCTCAGCGCCGCCGCCCCGCCGCCGCCATCGCGCCGCTCCTGCCCGGGGGCGGAGCGCTTTGGGCCCCGGCGGGATGGAGGCGCTGCGGCGGCCGGCGCTGCCCGAGGACGCGGTGCGCTCCCGCCTGTTCGCGGCGGCGGCGGGCCCGGGCGGCGAGGCGCTGCTGCGGCGCTGCGTTGAGCTGGCCCTGGTGCGCTTGGCCCCGCTCCTGGCCGCCTGCGTGTGGCAGCGGCAGCCGTTCCGCCTGCGCTACGTGCCGGGCCGCGGTGAGCCGGGAGCGGGCCGGGAGGCGCGGCGGGAGGAGCGCCCGGAGCGGAGGGACTGGGAGGGGCACCCGGCGGCCGGGAACCGGGAGCCAGTGAGGGGGAACCGGCGGCCGGGAACCGGGAGAGTGTGAGGGGGATCCGGGAGCGTGTGAGGGAAAAGCGGGGGGGTAGAAGGGGAAGCCGGCGCCCGGAATCGAGTAGCCTGTGAGGGGGAACCCGGGAGCGTGTTAAGGGAATCAGGCGGCCAGGAACCGGGAGTGTGAGGGGAAACCGGAGGGGTGTGAGGGGAACCCGGCGGCCGGAATCGAGGAGCGTCTGAGAGGGAACCGGGGGGGAGATCGTTTGAAGGGGATCCGGCGGCCGGGAACCGGGAGCTTGTGAGGAGGAGGCGGGAGAGTGTGAAGGACACCTGGCGGCCGAGAACCTGGATCTTTTGAGGAAAATCTGGCGGCAGGGAACCGGCAGCGTGTGAGGGGGAGTTGAGCCCTGTGAGGACGACCCGGTGGCCGGGAACTGAGGGCGTGTGAGGGGAAACCGGGATAGTTTGACGGCAATCTGGCGGCCGGGAACCGGGAGAGTTTGAGGGGCACCCGGCGGTTGAGAACCGGGATCTTTTGAGGAGACTCCGGCAGCCGGGAACAGGCAGTGTGTGAGGACAACTGGGCCGTGTGAGGGGGTCTCGGGGGCCAGAAACCAGGAGCGTGTGAGGGGGACCCGGCGGCTTCCCCGACTCTCGGTGTCACAGCACGGGTTAGCCCGGTGAGGCATCTGGTGCCACCTCCCTGGTGCAGCGGGGCCATCCCCGAGCACAGGACACAAGATTGTGTCAGCAGGGTCTGGGATATCCGCAGTGAGGGAGACTCCGCAGCCCGTGTGGACAATCTGTTGCTGGGCACGGCGTTGCTGAGCCGCCTCTCCTGTCTGTGCCCCGTGCAGGCGAGATCCCGGCGCACTTGGGCGGCACCGCGGTGTTCGGGGATAAGGTGGAGGATGAGTGGTTCATTGTGTAGCTGCTGCGGGAGATGAGCAGGGAGTTCGCGGGGCTGGCAGCCAGGTAAGGCGGGTGCTGCTGAGCTGCTTTAGTGGGAGGGCTGCCAAGGGGCAGTGCCTGTGCTCTGAAGGTCCTGTCTTAGCATTGCCCATCCTTGGAGGTGTTTCCCCATCCCAGACACGTTGGAAGTGTCCAAGGGCAGGTTGGATGGGGCTTGGAGCAGCCTGGGCTAGTGGAAGGTGTGCCTGGCTGTGGCAAGGGTGTTGGAAGGAGGTGTTGATCTTTAAGGTCCCTTCTAACCTAAGCCTTTCTATGAGTTTATGAATATTAAAAAAACCCCAGCAGACATGGATTCAGAAGTGTCCCTGAGGGTAGGGAATGCTCAGGGCTGGAGTGTTGCTGTTTCTGTAAGGACACAGGCTTTGTCTGGTCCAGGTGAAATAATGAGCAGACACCTTCACACGAATATGGATGGCTGCTAATGGAATGAATTAAAATGGACATAATTTATTTGGTCATTAGCAAAAAATTGTTTAATTATTTTCCCCTACTCCAAGATTCTTACAAGGGCTGGAACAGAAGACCAAAATAGATTGCAAGTGAGTACCTGGACTGTCAGGCTCATACTTTCCTTTTGTTTGAGGGAACAGACAGAGTGAGGGAGTTGAGAAGGTTGCATTCAGGGCTTTTCTTAGCATCAGGAACCAGCAGAGGTCGCATGTGATACCTGAAATGCTGCTTTTTAGTTCCTGTGATGTTCTGAAGCAGTTAGGATATCCTGGTTCTCCTAAAGCACTTCTCTAGTTGAAAAGAAACGTGGTTTTTTTGTTGTTAAGGAAACAAGATGTATTTGATGAAACGTGTTGCAGTTCAAATGGGGATTTTCCAGAATATTAAGGATTTTTCCTAATGTATTTAGAATGACAAAGGTTTATATTTACTTGGGGATTTCAGTTTGGAACAAACATTGTATAGCCTGAAAAGCAATTTATCAGAAAAATCTTTCTATGATGTATTTTGAATGCAGTCTCAGGCACTGCCTGTAATATGGGTGCCTCCAAAGCCAGTCTGGTGACCTGGAGGGAGTTTGCTGGCTGTCCCCAGCCCAGTCGCGCTGCAGGGAGTGTTTGTTTCTGCTGTGGCTGTTGCAGGTGACTTTCACTCGGTGTTTATATGCACAGCTGGTGCAGCAGCAGTTTGTTCCAGACAGACGCAGTGGATACACCCTGCCCGCCCCAGCTCATCCTCAGTACGGAGCCTGCGAGCTGGGCATGAAGCTGGTAATGATTGCTGGGGCATTTTGGCCTTGGCTCATGCATGCCCAGGGAATGGGTCCTTGTCTGGAGGTTGCCTGCTTGTCCAGAGAAATGTGAGCAAAGTCTGTCACACCTTGAGAACCTCTTGTTGTTGCATCTTTTATCTGCAGGCTCATGGCTTTGAAATGTTGTGCTCCAAGAGCAGTAAAGTGGCTCCTGATGCCAAGAGAAACGTGTTAAGCGGTCCTCTGTGGGAGAGATTCCTCAGGAGCTTGAAGGAGAAGGATTATTTCAAGGTCTGTGAGTATTTCAGAGTCTGTGGCTTTTTAACATTGCAGGGAAAATACATTTTAACCCTTGAACTTGTGTGAGGAGCTTGAATCCTTATCTCTGTGTGAAATGAACTAATGTGTTTAAAGGGGACATGTGCAGCTTGTTTCCCTTTGAAAGTAATTTATTTTGGAAATTAAAAAGGAAAAAGCAAGATGTGGGGATTGATTCATTCATCTAAAGCAAGGGGAGAAATACACTTGAGTGAAGAAAACTCCCATATGTGATTGTGTGAGGTGTGACTGATTTCACTGGTTTACATTTCATTTCCACCCCTCTAGAATTCAATATTCTTCAAGATCCATACATAACACCATCGACCTATCTGGGCCCATGCAAGTGTAATTTTTATGTGTGTGTGGTTTTTGTGACTTCTGGGGGTTTTGGTGAGGTTGTCTGGTTTATTTTTTTTGTTTCTTTTTTTAAGATGCCTTTCACTACTTTTTTGATGTTAATAAATGGGACATAAATTGACTACTTGTTTCAAGGTTATCAAATTGGACAACACTATTGAGATTCTTAGCTCCATATCCTTTAATAAACTTCAAATACAGGAATGCCCTTTGCAGTATTGAGTTCCAAGTGTAGATGGCCAAGAGGTTTTAGTTGTTTTGGTTCTCTCAGCATTCCTGTGTGACCAACAGTCACCCTTAGAAAGCCTGACTGGGAAGAGGAAGGGGAGGGAGAATTGTTTGGGTTCATGCCTGTGACTTGCATTTAACAGGGAGAAATGGAAGGATCAGCCAAGTACCTGGAACTGTTGCACATGGCAGAAGATCACTTCCAGCAATCTGTTGCAGTGCCAGAAAGGTGAGAGCTACTTGAAATTCATGAGTGTCATATATCCTACAAATCCTGTAAGTGACCTTTGAAATGCTTGTTACAAACACCTGAACCCTTTTCTCCACTGCACATTGAACATGGGAGCTGTGGCCAGGACATACAAGTACTAATTCCTCTGGAATGCTCCACTGGGAGAAGTTCTGGCTTGAGTAACTCTTTTATCTTGGTTATGTGAAATGCTGAGCTCTTCCAAGTGGATTCCAAGTGGTGACTGCAAATCAATTTTTGCTTGGTTGACTGTAGAAAGTGTAGAAAAGTTTCATTGAAAAGCAGTCCCAGTGAATAATGAATACAGGGTAATCTATCTCCTTTGCTCAAGGAGCTGGCTGTGGATTTCTCTGGATGATCAAATCCAAAAAGTAAATCACTGCAAAAATATCTGAGGCTTTGCCAGCCCATAATATCTTGACTGTTATTTTTTTGAGTTTCCAGTCTGTGGTGTTTAGGATCAGGTAATCTTAATATTTACCAAGGCAAATGAAATGTAAAGGAAAAGAGCCATGACCAATGGGCTTTGGAGCCATCAGCTGGGAATTGCAGGGACTGACTGTGTCCTGTTTTGGCCAATGCTCTGTGTAGTGCTCTGGTACTTCCCCCAGATTAATTTCCCTTTTTGATGTGTTTGCACAGAAGGAAAATGGAAGAATTCAAGTGAAAACCTGAATGCAGAGCATGTGATCCCATTGAATCCATTTCAGTAAATTCAATGTTTTTCTTCTAGCTGTGATGAAGTGAGCCCAGGTGATGAAATCCTGACACTACTACAGACAACCCCCATTGATGTGAAGGAATTGGAGAGAGAAGCAGCTTGTCTTCCTGCAGAGGATGGTGAGCTGGATGGGGGAATTATTCCTATTACAGATGATTATTTGTGGGGGTAGAGGGGCAATGCTGACAGCTGTGAAGGGAGAGCCAATCCAGCCTTCCTTAAGACTAAACACTGGGTTGGCTCTCCCAGTTTAGAGTAAGCCTTTCTTCCTCCACTTAGTGGCCCAAGGCTTCTCAGTGACTAGAATGGTCTCTCTTAGTTTGAGCTCTGCAAAGCAGAGTTTTTAAGTAGTGACAAGAAATCTGCACTCAGTTCTTCTCATCCTCTCTCTGGCTTTGCTGTGTGTGACCCAGGACCAGCACAAGAGCTGAGCTGCAGAGCTGAGCTGCAGGATGGTTGCAGTCCTGTCAGTCAGCTGGTTGGGGCCTGTGAGCCAGCAGGCTTGTGCAGAGTAACAGATGTGTGCTGTGTTCTTTCAGATGACAGCTGGCTGGATATTACACCAGGTGCTCTGGATCAGATGCTGAGGGAGACAAGAAATGAGTCCCTTCCTTCCCCAAATGAGGAGGAGCAAAAGTATGACTTGGAAACAGTTGCTGAGAGCATGAAGGCTTTTGTGTCCAAAGTCTCCACGCAGGAAGGAGCAGAAATGCCATGGTAGTAGCCCCTGGAGTGTGGCTCTGGTGTGGAATGTTGCACTGTGCTGCAGCCCTGTGGTTGGTTGTGTGATGCAGAGAATCAGAGTTTGAAGGTGCTGTGCTGAGCAGGGCCTGAAGCAAAGCCAGAGCAGTGAACCTGTACTTGCTTTAAATCAGCTTGGTGCCACTCTGGCACTGGTGCAGGTTCAAGTGCTGCAAGCTGAGCTGGTCTCTGTTCCTCAGTTGGATTTTGTGGTCTTCACAATTTTTCTCCTTTATTCAAAGAATTCTTCCACTGGTTGTTTGATGTCTAATGCACACAGGCTTCAAACTTCTGAGGACTTTTAAATTCAAATGTCCCAACTTTGGTCCTGACTTGAGAGAAATCAGTATGGCTTGTGCCTGTGTCAGGCTTATGCAAGCATAGAAGCTTCATTTCTTTAAAAATATTTTTAGATTTCAGGTCATCTGATGAATCCCATGTTACCTTTGATGTGGATTCTTTTACAAAAGCCCTGGACAGAATTTTAGGTGAGATTGCTTCTTTCTTTGAAACAAATGCCAGCACTGATTTCTTTGCTGTTGTACTGACACAACATCATGTGCAGGGGCAGACTTGGAGGAGCTGGATTGTGATGATGTGGATGAAGAGGAGGAGTTTGGTTTCTCAGCTGAGGATGATGAGGAGCTGGATGCTGGGAATGGAAGGCAGGAGCAGAAGGTGTCTCCTGAGGAGCTCGTGGGCAGTCTCAAGGCGTACATGAAGGAGATGGACCGTGAGCTGGCACAGAGCAACGTTGGGAAAAGTTTCAGCAGCCACAAGAGAGGGGTGAGTGTGCCTTGAGCTCTGATTTGCAGCAGTAATTTCCAAGCAGGAAATGTGCTGCAAGTGGCCATTCTGAGTAATGGGATTGGAACCTTCCCACGTGCAAGCAAAGTGTGCTGGACCTGCACCATCATACATTTTTTATAAACTAAAGCTTAACTAAGCTTGGAATTTGCCCATCTTTTCCAAGGCTTAGTTCCATTTCCCTGTTTTTAGTAGTAGGGCAAGAAGCTGCAGCTTCACTTGTAAGGTCCTGTGGTAGTTTTCTCCCATAGGAAGCTGAGCCAGGACTCAGCAACACTTTGTGTCCTTCTCTTGGAATTTAATCTGGGTAATGGACAGTGGTGATTTTCAGCTGGCATGAGCATTTGGTGTCTGAATTCTTGTTTGTCAGGACTCAGGAGTGTACTGGACTTTTTTGGCTGCACAATTGCTGTTTCTTTTCTCCTGTGGTTTGCCCCTTTTTTTTCCCCCTTAAATGTGCTCATGCAATTTGATAAAGCTTTCTTTTTGTACTGTCTGCAGGCAAGTTCTGTTGGAGCAGCCCCATGTGAGAGTGCTGGCCCTGATTGTGGAGCTGAGGCTGCTGAGCTGGCAGCCCTGGCTGTGGACATGAACCTGGTGGCAAAGCTGCTCGAGTCCCACAGTGCCCAGGCTGGCCTGGCAGGACCCAGCTGGAACATTTGACAGAGCCTGGGGGTGAATTTACCTGAGAGCACAGAGCTCACTGGCAGCTGAGCAAGGCAGGGAGAGCCTTTGCACAAGACATGGCTGCTGGGGAGATGGAGCACAGACACACAAGCAGGATGTGGGAGAAGAGGCCAAAGGTTTTAATTTGGAGCATTCTGTTCATTTTTGTGTCACTTCAGCAGAGTGAATTTACCTGCAGAAGCTTCTGTTTGCACACTGTCTTGGGTGGAAATGAGATTTTCCCAATGTTAGCACATTTTCAGAAATCTGGGAAATGATGTTGAATGCATGACTCAAATGAGGTTTTGTTTTATTACAACACCTCTCTTCCATTTTTTCATTCAGTGATCCAATTTGCCACATTTCTAAAATGTCCTTTTACCCATTGCTGAGTGGGGTCAATATCTGGGGAGCAGTTCTTGTTCTGAAAATGCTGCTGCCTTCAGGGGCAGGTGGGGAAATACCACATTGCAGGAAGAGTAATTGGACCAAATGTGTAAATATTGGCCAGCAGTATTTTTTAAATTTATTTCAATAAAAACAGAAATACATCTTGATTACTGAATTTTTTGAAGGTATGCATAACTTCCTCAGTGCAGTATCAGTTCTTGGAGTGAAAGTATTTTTGTAATTGTTCATTTTCTGAATGAATTCCATTATTGCTGAATGTTGATATACAGCTACTGCTGGCATGATGGGAGCCCAGGCTGAGCAGTTTGGGGGTTTTTTTCAGTGAAAATGTGGCTGGAAGGCATGCAGCATGTTGCTTTCATCTGGAATGACAAATCTATTTTAAATATGGGAACTTAGGTTTCAACAAGTTAAATTTGATACAAAATACATAAAAATTCTTGATACACAGACACCAACAGGGCAGTCCTGCTGGGTCCAAATCAGCTTCTTAATTTCTCTTTATTTCATTTTCATTCAGCAATGAATGAGTTGTCCTGCACTGATGTTGTGTAATTTCCTTTGTCAGCAGTTCAGGGAGAGCACTGGCAGGTTGGACAGGGATTAGAGATGGACAGCAAGAGCTGGGAAGTGTGAAGAAGGTTCTGCTACATTTCAAGGAATTTGGACTGCTGAGAGGTGAGAGACTCAGACAAATCTGTGGTGGAAAAATGGGGTTAACAGGGGGTTTGTAATTGAGACAAGGCTAATGAGCAGTTAGTGGTGGAAAACAGAGGTACTTGAACCTTGGGAAAGGTTGGTGTTTGACCAGGGAAGCTAATTTACACTGAAAATACATAAAATTCTCTACTGATGAGTAGCTAGATCAAGTTTAGATACTTTGAAACATAATTGAGTTGAAGAACATGATCACACTGAACTGCTGTGTGGCCTGTGCTATAGAAAAGGTCCAAATAGATGGAAGGGCTCTCTTAGTGCATGAGCAGAACTCCTAAGCTGAGGTTCAGAACAAAGCTGCTCTTTTGCAAACACTCCAGCTGCTGTTGCTGCTTGGATAATCTGACTTTTCCATCAGTGGGGCTGGGATTTCTCTGGGGCTCTGCTCATCCCAACTCTTTCCATTTGTTCAGCAGCTTCCCAGGGGAGCCCTGCAAGGCTCTGGGAGTGCTCCCAGGAGAGTTTGCCATGGAAGAAGAAGCATTTCCATGCTGCCTCTTCCACTGCTTTGAGGTAACACACGAGGCATCTCCACTTTTAATTCTGAGAGTGTTTTTAGTGAAGGAAGCCTGATGGAATTAATTAGGGCAGACAAGTGGTGTGTGGTTCCCTTTCAATGGATTTCTGTCCAAGTGTATTCTGGAGTTGTTTAACTGGTTAATTTTCCCTTATAGTCTGTGTTTCAACTGGGGGAATCCCCATTCACCTGCAATGTTGAGGGTATCAATGGAAAGAAACCCTGCCTTGGCCATTATTTCAGGGCTATCAATGGATGGGGAATCCCCATTTTCTTGCTGAAATAGATCACGGAACACCCTTTGTGATGGGATTTTATAGGTTTGAAATGAGATTAAACCTTCAATTTTCATAATCTTTAAATTGACAAGGAATCTCTGTTGTGCCTTTTTTTTAGCATTGAAATGGGTAGAAACCCCCACTGATTCCATTGAGGGATTTATATCGAGGGGCTACAAAGGCTGGAAAAAAAGAGGCACAAAAGGGCAGCAAAAAAAATGGTGGAAAAAAAGTTGGTAGAAAAGGGGTGGGAAAAAAGGTCTCAAAAACAGGTGGCGAAAAAAGGGCAGAAGAAAAAAAAATGGAGGGGAAAAATGGGCAAAAATTGGGGAAAAAAGGCAGCAAAAAACAGGGAAGGAAGGACAGAAAAAAAACCAGGGAAAAAGGCAGCTAAAATGGGGGGAAAAGGGCAGCAGGAAAAGGGGGGAAGAGTGAAAAAATGGAGATGGCATAATGGTGTAAAGGTCGTGTTTAAGAAGCAGGAAAGCTCTAGAAAGGTGAGGAGAAAAGGGTGCTTAGCATGAGAGGAAAAAGGATGGAAATATGAGGGGAAAAGAGCAGGAGTCCCAGAGACACCCCCAGAGCTCAGGCCCCCCTCCCCAATCCCACAGACACCCCCAGGTACCCCCAAGAGAGCCCCTGCAAACCCCACAGACACCTGGGCCTGGATTCCTGCAGGAACACTCGGGAACAACCGGGCTCCTTGCAGCGGGATGGAAACAACGGCCAGGGCTGGGAATGTGTGCCCACTGTGCTGCCAGGCTGGGAATCAGCTGGGTGGGGCCATGCCATGGCAAAGGCTCCTGAACAAGTGCCAGGTCTGTGGGCTGCAGCTGGAGCTGAGAAGCAAAGGGATTAGTCCAGGCAGGAGAACATCCCCTCATGGGGTACTGCTGCAAAGTGGGCATGTTTGGAACAGAGCCTCTCCTTCAGCAGCCCAACGCTGCCAGATGGAAATTGCCAAGGGCACGAGGCTGGGCAGTGAAGAGCAGAGCTGCTGTGAAGGTAAAGCTCAGTTCATTCAGAGAGATCACACAGGTCACCTGAGCACTGTTACAGGTAGGAAGCAGAAAATGAGAGATTTCCAGGAAAGCCTTTGTAGTTTGGTGGGGAAAAGGAGTTGTGCTATGCAATGGCTGCAGGGATGGTGATCCAAATGAGTTCTGAGCAGATTTCCTTTATTTTTTCAATTGGAGAGGGTTATTAACCTTAGCTGCTGTTGCAAGGCCAAACAGTTTTGGAATCTCTTCTAGTTTCATCTAGCTGTCCTCCATGCTGCATACTCACAGCAGCCATATTGAATTGTCATATAATGTGTGAATTTGCTTGTGTCCCTATCCCAAATGTCATCCTTCCTGGGTTTTCAGCTTCTTTTTAACATGCTAGTAAATCTTCTGCATCCCTCTGCAGTATTTCCATGGGTAAACCCACTGAAGAGCACAAGCTAAAGGATGCTACCTCCAGCTGAGCACAGGGAGCAGTGGGAAAGGATGTTCTATCAGCATTTTCTGTCCCTGTGCTGATACTGTTCTCCCTGGGAGGGAGCTGGGAAATCCCTATTTCTGCTGCTGTGCTCTTCCTGATGTGTGTCACAGCTGATGCCAACCCCATTTTCCCAGTGTAATGATGATTCTGGATGTCTGAGTGTACCTGCTGGCCTTGGAAATGCCACTGATGGTTATTAAGGAGAAGGCAAGTCCCACCGTTTCCGTGTGGGAACAGAAACGTGTGGCCGTCCCTCAGTGCAGCTCTTTTGGTGACAGCGGTCAGTGGCCATTCCTGGTGCAGTTTTGTTATCATTTTTTCTTATACCATTCTATTTTATTCCCTTCAGACTTCCCACCCTTTGCCATTCCTCACTTCTTACCCAGCACTGCCCCAATGGTCCCTGGGTGCAGCTTTTTTAGAGAACAGGGCCCGTCCCAACAGGCGGCTGCTGCAGCCAGGGCAGGGGCAGGGCAAGGGACATCACAGCGCTGGTGGTGCTTGGAGACTGTTGGCTTTTGCAGTTCAGGCAGATCAAATCAATCCCAATTGTAAGAGATTTCCACCATCTGCTACTTCTCCCCTCTTTTCCTGGATGGATTTGACAGCTCTTCCTTTCCTCCCACAGAGCTGGAAAGCAAAATGCCCACCTGTCCCATTTATTTGGCACCACTTTCTCCCTCCTCCTCTCTCTGCCAGCTCCAGCAAAGCCATTTCCCCCACTGGCACCAGCTGCCTCCTGTCCCTCGCTCCCATTTTGCCCACTCTGAACTCCTGGAGCCGCCTGCCCGTGGAGCCGCAGCCGCCGTGGGGCCGGGTAATGGTGCAGGGAATGCTGGCAGGGATTCTTGGGCTAGGCTGGACCAGGCCAGGTGCCCGGGGCCAGGAAAAGCGCTCGGAGCCTCTGCTGCTGCCCCTGGGCAGGCAACAGAACACAGCAGGAAAGGCTCGGGGCTCTAAGGAAAGGCAGCCAGAGATCTCTCACACATCATGGGCATTGGAAGCCTGGAGTGGGGCCATTAATTTCCATTGAATGTATTATGAAAGAAATCACAACAAAAGAGTGAGTAGGCTGCCAAATCCTAAAAATGCACCTTCTCCACACTGTTCTCTCCTTCCTGGGCTTCACTTTATCCACAATTCCCTCCCTCTCTCCTCCCCACACAGTGACACAGAGGGATGGGGGTTACAGCCACATCATGTCACTGCATCCCCCTCAGGGAGACAAATCTGTCCTGCTCTGTTGTCATCTTTTCACGGGGGTTCCATACTGTTGTCTCCTTATCGTAGATATTTCACACTTTCTTGGTGTTTTCTCCTGGGCAGCTCCTCAGAGCACTGACTCTTCATTCTTCACAAAGTAGCCAACTGACTCCAGTTCCCTTCCCAACCTGCCAGCCCACTCTTTCATAGCACTCTTCTTCTCATTGGTTACAGCTGTGGCCTGTTAAAATCAGGCCTATTCCTAATATTTGCTAATTGCCCCATCTACAACTCCTTAGGGGTAAGATTACTTTCTGGACCATCTTTATTTTCTTATATTCTATCCCCCTACACTGCTCCAGCCTGGGATTCCTCCCACAGGAGGACAGTCAGATCCTTAGTGACAGTGTCCTGGTTCAGGGCAAATTTGAGCTCCTCTAGGAAAGCAGATTCATTTGGCTCCTCCCTGCAACCAATCTGGGAGAAAATACCTCCTTGGAGAAAAGTGGAAAAAACCTATTTTTTAAACAATAAAACCCCTTGCTGCTCCAAAAGAGATGACAAACTGAGAAAGTCCTCCTCCAGGTTGCAGTTCAGCTCACTGAGTCTCCCATCAGTCCCTCTGGTGCTGGAAATGTTGTGCCCCAGGCCCAGCCCGGCAGGCCCCAGGTGTGAGCTGCTGGTGCTCTTCTGGGTGTTCAGTCCAGAGCAGGTTCAAACAGGTCTGAAAAAAGGGGAAAAGGAAAAAAAACAGAGTCCAGGGAACTTCTTTGCCTCAGCTAGCTCAACTAACTAAAAGCCAAGGAGAGCTCAATCCTGTTGTCTGTCCATCTGCAGATAACACAGTCCAGGAGTAGGAATGTGGAGGAGTGAGAGCAGTGTCTGAAAACAAAATGCGCGCTTCTTCTCTCCCCTCTTCACTCTCTGGAAGATGTCTTAAAGAGGCAAAACTTATTATTCAGCATAAACAGAAGAAGACGATTTGGGCTAAAAGCATCATATAGTCAACTTGGACAGACAGACAGACCATTGCCCACAGTCAGGTGCCTGATGCCAATAATGGGATTCCTCCTCAGCATGTGTCAGCGGTTCTTCCTCCTCTTCCAAAGACAGTTCACAAGTGCCACATTCAGACCAGTTGGTGATGATTTCCAAGAGGCCAGGAAGATTTGGATTTCCCATTGGAGCTTATTGTGTCATGAGGGCAATGCCCTCACTGCAGGCAGCGTCGGTGGCAGGATGGATTGCAGAGACTTTTCCTTTGCAGCCCCAGCCCAGCGCTGGCACTGGGGATGCAGAGGCACTGAGGTGACCCTGAGAGGAAGTGCAAGGCACAGGGCGCAGCTGAGGAAGGACAGCGCTGTGCTGGGCTCAGAGATGAAGCTGGCACTGCCCAGTGTGCAGAAGACACTTTCTGCAGCCCCTGTTAAAGGGAAGCTTGGGCCTTGCTGCAGAGATACGGCCGCTCATTGGAGCAGTTCTCACTCCTCAATCTCTTGTCAGCCAGGTACACGCACTGGGAACTGCCGAGGACAGGAACCCTGCAGGGAGGAGCAGAGGCAGCGCTGGCTGCCAGGGGAAGCCCTTGTGCCCCTGTGCCCCCAGGCCCTGCCCGGCTCCCCGGCACTCACCGGGAGCTGTAGCTGCTGCCGTCCCCCCAGTGCAGGCGCTCGCCCCGTCTGCGCAGCCCGAGCCAGTAACCGAAATTCCCACAGAGGCGGGAGAGCAGATCCTGCCCAGGAGAGAGGAGTGGGAGCTGCCCCGGCCCCTCGGGGGGACACGTGCCCGGGGCTCCCCCCGCACGCCGGGGCTCCTTCCCTGCAAGGCCCCGGCCCAGGGCTGCAGCCCCGGCCCTGCGAGCACCGAGCCCGGCCCAGGAGCGCCCCCAGGCTGCCCTCAGCCACCCCACAGTGCCCGCAGCCCCTCACTCACCATGGCCTCCTCATCCTTGGCAATGGCCAGGGAGGCCCCGAGCTCGGAGCACCGTTCCTGACCCTGCTCCCACGTGCTGAAATCCCGTGAGAAGTAGTAGCAGACCCCCTTGTACCCAACCCAGCCATGGGGACAGCCCAGAAGAGACGGCAGAGTCGCAGGTGTGACTGGAAGCTGTGGTGCTGCTGCAGGGGGAAGAGGAGAAGGTCTGAGGATTCCCCTGTGCAGGGAGCAGGGAGCCCACTCTGCCCCGAGGGGCTGGGCCCAGGCTGCTGCCCCTCCCTTACCTGCCAGCACAGCCAAGGCCGCCCCCAAAGCCAGCACCAGCACCAGGAGCAGCAGAATCAGCGCCACTGTGCCCACGGGATGGCACCTGAACCATTCACCTGGAGCAGGAAAGAGCTGCTGGCTGCCAGAAGCAGAGCCGGC